TGAGGTCCCCAAATGTACCGAACAAGCCCTCGCAAAACCAATCTTATTATATTTCAATCTCAAATATTATATCAGAATTAAGCGTTAGATTTATCCAGTGGATAAGAACGGGAGAACAAAAAAGGACTACCTTTAAAGAATTCAATCAAATAATTTGTAGTGAATACGAAGATAAGGATATAAAAATGAAAATCAAGTCTAATAAGTAGTGCCTAATCAGCAAAGTTTGTTTCCGTTCTGTCAATACATCAAATATAAAAATATAAATGGAACTCATTTAAGGGTATGATGAGCAAGGTAAAACAAGTAACTAACCTTAGAGCGTCTTCACGAACAATCCTGTGCTGGGCGAAGCAGGCGATAGCCCAGACCTTAACTTCGATGCCAGAGTAAAATTGTTTTCCACGCATGTCCCAGACGCCCATCTGCGGTGCTGCCTGCGCTTTTGTGCGGCCGCCATATTGTATTCTTGGTGCCGGGATCACGCGACCTGAAATTTCAGCCATTCGTGGCGTTACATGAATCCCAAACACCTGTAGATGAGGATCATTTGAAAAGTTGGCTCTGCGCACCTATAGATAGGAAAGTTAGGAAGAAAGTTAATGGGTTATAGAATCTAAGGTAATTCGTTAAATATACAAAAATTAAGGGATCAAGAGAACTCAAAATGTGGAGAAAAACAAACGCAAAATAAGCTTAAATGATTCCTAAATCACCAAATGTGTACAGAAAATTAATGTGGAATAGGATGGAGATAAGGGTAGATAGGTAAATATAGAGCCTGTTTGCCTTGGTGTATAGCAAACTTTGCTAAATAATACCTTCATACTCATATGATGTCTACCAAAAGACAGATAAGACCTTAGCGAGGATTCATTGGAGTGGCGGGAAGATTCGCAGAGGACTGATTTGCACACATTAAGAAATCGAAAGCTATTCTCCCTGAGCTTCCAGTGAGGCGAATTTACGAACTCATTCCACTCGCTTTTCCAAACGAAATGAATGGTACAACAGCATTTGCTTCTGTTAGTGTGTGCGTGCGTTGTGTAGACAATGCTCATGAGTAATGCGAGAATTGAGACTAGTTAAGCCTTTTCTTGCTCGCCACGTGTTCTTGTTAGCTTACTCAATCCAATGGCTATACGTAACTCCCACTTAATTTCCCTCACTCGCTCCCATTCTAAGCTCAATAATCTTCAGCTATGCTCTGTTCATACAACTCACCATTAAAACTAACATATTCACAACTCATTATCAAATTGAAAAATGTAATGGGACCTTTCATATAATTTTGTATCCATTAAAATATCAAAATATTTATGCAATGCTTATTTTATAGACAACGTCGCTCCATTTACCAGAAAGTATATTGACACAATAATAAAACTTACAAGCCAACGCTTACAATTTACAAACCAACACTTTCTATATCTTTTGCTGATCTACTAGCTAAACGAACTCATTAAAATTCCTTATTGGAAAATTCTAGGCCTTAGATATTTGTTTTAATTGATGGTAAATAAATCACGTTTTATGCATCATGCAACCCTTAGTGATCCACCTTTGTGTATTTTTGGCAGGCCAAGAGCATTTGGGGG